AAGCCATAGAAGCAAGCAGAAACTCAACACATTTAGTAAAAGTGGGCTGAGGGCCCAGAGGGAAACGACACCTACTTTCTTATTTTTTTATATGTGCCCTGCTTCCCAGAGGGACTTTCAGAATCCTGCTAGAATCTTGTGACTGAAATCTAATTGGAGTGAGAGTCTCAAAGCTTGTGAATTCTAATCTGTTGATTAAAAAGCAAAACAAAACAGTTGTAGGGCTCTCACCCCATCCATATGGTTCTCAGATCGGATATGCAAACACTTTCTGTAAATTACACTCATTTTTACTTCCTGGGGGTAAGTAAAATTAACTTGAACATTGGGTCCAATTGTCACTCAGGCAGCTGCAATAACAGCCTAATAAAACGCATATATATGTTCACTTAAAAAAAAAGCCCATAGTTAAGATTGGAATTTAAGTTTCTATATAATTCTAAATCCTATGTGTAGTTTAAAGCCAGGAAATATGTGTTTAAGGCCAAAATTCCATTCCTCTATCTTTCCTGCTCTGGTTATGCCAGACAAATAATAGTTACAGCAACTTGAGAACCCCTTGCTATACCTTAGGTATAATTAAGTGACTTAACTTTGACTTCCTCCCTGCATTCATTATTTGTTGGCTTAGCTTCTATGCTCCGTTCTGATCTTTCCAGAACATCTTCTGTTTCCTGCTGCTGCCCTCCTCACGGACCACGTAGAAGTTACTGAGAAGATACAAATCCCAGTCACACGGTGAAACCGAGTCCTTTCAGCTAGCCAGGAACACCGCTGGGATTTAACCAGCGACTGCAGGATGGATTCAGTACGATGACTTGAACATATGTGACTTACAAAATCACCCCAGGGCAGTGGATGCAAACGCGTCTACTTCTTACTTACGTCATCTGGAAATGCTAAGGCAGGTGTGAAACTGCCCCAGGAAGTCAAACCAAGCCTTACAAATGATCAAAACCTACAACAACTTACAGCAAGCATCAGAACCGTTTACACTCGGAGCTCCATCCTAGTAGGAACTCCCTGAGGACCACCCAGTGGTGCATCTCTGCACCAGGCGATAAATTCTGTTTACTTGCTAAATAAGTACATAAGAGCATAACTGAATTACTGGGTCAGAACATTTTGAGCTGGCCTTTCCACACCATTTACAATCACGATGACATTAGGCAAGATACAACTTCTTGCAACCTCACTTTCCCTGCCTATGAAATGGGCACACTGACCTTAGAGAATGAAATACAAATTAAACAAGATGATTCAATATATTCACAGGCATGTTAAAAAATACTTTGTTATTTTAGTGCCATGATTTATATAATATACAGGTATATTTGATTCTAGCTGGGTAAAAAAATTGGTAATCAAATGATAGCACCTGTGTTACCTGGGGAATTTAAAGATCCTTTTTACCTGAGATAGTCCATGCTTTTTTTTTCCCCTTCTGCATAAGTAGCTAAATAAGGAAAATGCCGCACACTTTTGACTTAAATGGTGAGACCACGCCAATGCCAGACTCTCCTTCCAACTCCAGCCACCACCGTGACTCTGCGAATTATTTACTTGAGTTAAAAGGATAAAAAGCTGCTTTCTAGATGGGCCACCAGCACTAAATTTTACTCTGCTCAAATGTTTGCTGATTTTTCTCCTGCCAGATTTATGTGAAAGTAATAATTTAAAACCTTAAATAGCTGGCTAATTTCAGTGCTTTTAAAATCTTTTTTGGAGACATGGAAAGGCATTATAAATAAGAAATCAAACCCTTGTAATTCCGATTTATAACAATAGGACCCCCTCACATGGATTTCCTCATTTTAAAAACTGATGTATATATGAGGCTCAGCTTTAAATCCAAAATCAAAATGATTTTCACTGATCTCTGCACGCCAATGGCTGGTTCGGTATAGACAATAACAACACATGCCTTATACATTCAGGCACGGCCTTGGCTTTAAGTTCAGGAACCATCTTAAGTGACAGTTCCTACACGTTCAAAAAGAGTTCCCAGAAGGCTCTGGGCTTCAAGTTTCCTCTCATTTGTACCTGCTGTAAATGAAGACTCAGTTTTGTTGCCCATCCATCTCCAAATACAGCCTAAGTCCAACTCTGAAGAGAGCTGCTTGTAGGAGGCATTTTGCTACTGATGTCTATTTTTCTTTCAGGGAAAATATTTGTTTCAAATCATCAACCTACATCTCTAATTCTATCACAAGAATTAAAAAATGAACTAGTGGGTGACAACATGAAGGAACAGAAGTGCTGGTGATTTGCCAAGGGTGCAATGCATTTATAATGGAATTATTAATGGACTCGTGATCTTTATGCCCAGGGTGACTGAGGGCTTCACCTCGCTCCCCACTCAGAGCCTGGGGCACACGTTCCAGCAGACGGCCCCCCATAGCACCTAGCACTGACCCTAGAGGGACTGTACTGCAGGGAACTACCCCACACTGGCTGTGTTCTGGTTGACAGTGGCCTACTCTCCCCTACTTCCTTTGAGGGCCTCAGGGACCTCTTGGTGTTCCCTGCACAGTCTGGTCCTGTAGGAGAGGCTCTGCAACTGAGGGTCTAGATGGGGGGGTCTCATTTCTCACTGCAGGGCTTGGTACAGATGTTCACATCCTCAGATCAGCCCGGGTGACTTCTGCCTCACCCCAATCCTGTTCTTCTGAGCCTGCTGAGAAAACTGGTCCCCATTTCTCAAAGGTGTCAAGTCACACTCAACTCCTGCCCACTCCCACATATGAAAGGACGATGGTATTTTAGTCAGATGCCCCATGGGTTACAGTCCCAAATGTCAACTCCTAAGAATTTACACTATTTTTTGCTAGTAGGAAAATGAAAGAAATGAAGAAACCCTTCACCCCATCATGGATTCCAAAATACTTAACCATTTCTTAACCCTCAAATTCTGGTTCAATATCTAGCCATACATTTTTAAGACCATACTCAGCAAAATTAATTAGCCAAGCTTAGACGACTAAGACAGATGACCAGCAAGATAAAGCTGAGTCAACAGGCTTAGGTTCCAGTCACAACCCCAACAAGGACAGAGAACAAGTATCAGCTTCCCCATTGGCAAGACAGAAGTACAACCTGGCAGCATGGAGCCCCTTGGTCCTCAGCACTTCTTTATATGAGTAAAATGAATCTCCCAAATTCTCTAGAACTGGCCAAAGGGACATTTTGCAATGATGGAAATACTCATGTTATAGCATGTCCAATATGGTAGCCCCTATCTATCTACACGTGGCTACCGAGCACTTAAAATGTGGCTGGGATAAGTGAATTTTAACTTCATTGATTTAAAGGTAAGCAGTCATTGTAGATAGTGTGTCTAATTAGACTACTTTAATTGCTAAGGGCTGGAGATGTTGCTCAATGGTAGTGTGTATGATTTGTATGTGTGAGGCCGTGGGTTCGATCCTCAACATTGCAAAAGAAAAAACTGTAACATAAGGACGAATCTGTGTTTCTGATCTGTAGGCCACGCTGATTGTGTCAACTGGGGTTCACTGCTCTTATAGCACAGAGGATAAAATCCAGAGTTCTGGCCCCCTCCCACTGATGAGATAAGCCTGGTTCGGTGCAAGCCATGCGGAGGTGAAATCTATCTTGCTGCACAGCTCCAGTGGGAAGGTGGAAGGAGAGGCAGGTGAGCTTAGGCAGCATCTCTCTCTCCACTCTGAGATCTTCCATCTCTGGGAACTCCCTAACAATTCATCCTCCATCCAGCAGCCAGAATGGTTTTATTATTATCACTGTTATTATTATTTGCAGAACTGGAGATTGAACTCAGGGCTTTTCACTTGCCAGAATGAGCTTTTAAAATAACCCGTGTGCTTAAACCCTCCAGTGGCTCCCTACTCACCATCCAAACTCCTCTCCCAGGGTCCTGCTCGCCTCCTTCAGTTTCCTTCCCCCGTCCCTGGTTTCAGCCTGTCATCCCAGCTACACAGACAGCATAAACAGGGGGATCTGCATCTGAGACTGGCCCCGGGCATAAATAAGGGACCCTACCTAACAACTAAAATGCAAAAGAGCTGGGGGGCGTGGATCAAGTGATAAAGTGCCTGCCTAGCAAGTGCAAGGTCCTGAGTTCAAACCCCAGTACTGCCTAAAAAAAAAAAAAAAAAAAGAGGAATAGTAATAATCTGAGTACCCAGGAGGGTGAGGCTGGGTGCAGCTCAGTGGTAGAATGCTTGCCTAGCATGTGCAAGACTCTGGATTTGATGCCCAGCACTGCAAAAAAACAAAACAAAACAAAACCATCTGTGGGTGACCCACGACTAAATGAGGCTCTTGGTGAACCAATGTTTCCAGCGACCCAGCAACTTCCCAATGACCAGAAGATGAAGATAGTGTCACTATCATACTGACTGGAAAGATGAGTCAGGCTAGATGACCAGAAATCCTGTCTTCCTTCTTCCTTCTTCTTTCTCTTTCGTTACCTCTGAATCTGGCTTCTTATCTTGACTCAGCAGAAGCCAGCCATCAGTTACCTACACTACCCTTTTCTTAGTCCTTGCTACATGACCCTATCATTCTCTCTTCTTAGATTGCCTTGTACTGCTGGTTTCTACCCTGCAACATTAAATAGATTTCCACACACCCCCTCCATGGCGAAAAAATAGTCACAGCCCCACCTTAGAGCTTCTATTTCTCACTGGGAATTTATGCAGGCACGAGCAACAACAGCTTCCAAAGGCCTTTGACTAAAAGTTGCCTTAGTCAGGAATCCTGAAAATTCAACTGAGTCAGGCCAGGTTTTCAGAAACACATCTGCTTGAAGAATTTACTCCTTCAAGCATTATCTTGAGCCCTTTCTGATGGCTAACGCAGGGCACCATTGGATCTCTTAATAAAAAGAATCTCCCAAATAGCTGAAGTAAATCCAACCTCTGCCTCCAGCCCCAGTCCTGACACCAGAGGGAAAAGGCAAGAGCTGTGCCCTGTTTCAGCCCCCACGTCCATGAGAACACCTTTTAAAAAGTGCTTACTGTGATTTTCCACGTGCATTTGCTATTTGGAGGGTACACTCCAGGAAAACCTTCGCTGCCAATCAGTCCAGACTCTCCAGTGAGAAAACCGCCACAAGTGAAGAGAGGTCTGGGAAAACAGGAGGAAAGAACGCTGAATTTGAGACACCGTCTAACAAGGTCATGGTCACTTCAGCAAAGTGCAAGACACTAACGTGGAGCTCATACTGCTTAATAAATTCTTGCACCAGATAAAAAAATCTCAAGGCTTGCTAGCTCTTAGAAAATTTAAACTACAGCCTGATTAAACCACTCAGTCTCTGTCTCCCTCATCAAATAGCTGTATCTATCTTGTCTATATATATGTATTTAATATATACTTAATACATATGCATTTAAGCTTATCACCTATCTGTCTATCTATCATCTATCTACTACCTACCTACCTGTCATCTTTAAGTCTTCCATAGTATTAAAGTCTTGTAGGAAAATGTAAATGGAACAATTTCACCGGGCAGAGGAGAGGTGACAATCAGGGTTTTAAACACTGACTGCAGTGGGTTCATATAAGAATTTGTAAGGTTCATATAAAAGTTTCTAAGTTCCCTGATCTGGAAACAGGCCCAGCTGCCCTCCCCTTTCCGAAAGTCCTTGGCCACAGGCAAGGAAGAGGGAGGCTGGTGTTGATGGAGGGGGAGGAGATGCCCTGCCCGAGCGGCCATCAGGCTGGTCCCGCAGCGCCGGGGCCTGGGCCGTGCGGGGGTCGGAGAGGACTTAACATTGCGGGGCGGATCCCCGGGTTTTTCGGGGATGGGTCCCCTGCAGTGGGAGCCCACAAGTGGGGATCCACATGGGGGGCCCCAGTGCTTCCCTCCGCTGTCCCTCAGGGCAGAGGACAGGCGGTCAGAGGCACCCCCGCCACGTGGTGGCCCCTGTGCGCGCGGAGCCGGGGTCCCCCCAGGGCGCAGGGGGTGAGGCCGCGGGGACGGAGGAGGGACGGGAAGGAGGGGACCCGGGCGGGGGCGGGGGTCGCCTTACCTCTCGGGGGGCTGCGGCCAGGCGAGCTGGACGGCGGCGGCCAGCAGCAGGCAGAGCGGGGCGCCCCTCATGGCCGCGCCGACGATCGGGGTCCCCGCTGCTCGGGGCTCAGGCCGGCATGGGCTCCGCGGCGCTGTCCCCGTGTCCCCGCGCGCCCAGGTGGCCGCCGTGCGCCGCGCTGCCCCAGGAGCCGCCCTGGCAGCCGGGCCAACGTGAATGTCCCGTTTGTTCCCGCAGGAGGGGCGGCTCCGAGGACACGGCCGCTCCCCCGCGCGGGCGGGGACCCGAGGGCCTGGCCCGGGATCCTCACCGGGTATGGGGCGCCCCCCCCACCCCCTTCTAAATAAACCGTGCTGTGCTGGCCGGGGAGTGAACCCTGAGTTCCTGCTTTGTCTCCTTGGGACATCCAGAGCCCTGGGGGGGAAAGGAAAATGAGGGCAAGGAGGGAGAGACTATTCTAGTTCTAAGAGAGAGGCATCCTATTTAATTGCAGCTTTTGCTCGCTCACTTTGGACACACACAACCTCAGCGCAGTCTTCTCCGTGCAACAGTGACGAGGGAGGTCGTGCCTGTGAGTGGATTTAGGCAAGTGATTTGGGAGTGAACTGTCATTGAGTGTCAAATCTCGAACACAGACCCCAAATCATCTCACCTCCCCATCCCTTGTTAGGTTCTGAAGGTGATGTTTCTCTGCTGGCATTTCTCTGTTACCAGAACAGCATTTCCAACAACTGGAAAAAGTTAATATTTGCAGAAAATTTGTTTTTCTAAGAACAGCCTTAGCCTTGTGGAATCAAGGCTTTATTTAAATGCAGAAAAACAAAAAATTTCAAACCTTTACTTTGTCAAGTGCTACCCAATAACCAGGGGCGAATGAAAGAATAACCAGAACAGAATGGATTCATTGAGATTTCTGAATAACCAAAGTGCTAGAGCTGAGTTTTAATGCCTCATTTGTGTTGCTTCTTCTAAATTTTCACCTTTCTAAGAAAAAGTGAAAGTAGCACTTATCAAGACATCATTTTTAGTAGTGAATTTATAATGCTAAGGACATAAAAACCCTGACAAGGATGGTTAGCGGTCAGAAAACCCAAGAACTTCTACTAGGATCTAGAACTTTTAGATTGACCATTATTGGAAAAGTGAAGGAAAAAAACACCACGAGCTACAACCTTTAAAAAAGTTCCCCAAAGGCACCACACCCTGTTTGATATTTTTTTTGAAAAAAGGGATTACAGAATCTGGCAGACTACATTACTTCCTGAAACTCACACCCTCAACTCAATAAAAATTTCTTCAAAACAGCAAAAGAGGAAAATACATGACTGTTTATTTTGCACACATTTCAAGAATAAGCTGTCCAACAGCGTAAGTGCTTTATATGATAGTCTAAACAGTCGTAGTTGGAAGTTATTAAGTGAAAACATTGCTCAATTCACTTTCTGGTAATGGTTTGGAGTCCTTGTAACCTGAAAGTACTTAGGAGTGTTTTCAAATATTAAAATAAAAGACCAAAGAATTAAACATACCTAAACAGACAGAAAGCTATTTGAGCATAAATGTGCAACAGCATTTTTTTCCTTAATTTATAGAGGGGTGACTGTGCTCATATCCTCACTAAAAAGTGAGGGTTCTGACACTAACCGTTCTGTTGTTGACATAAGAAAGACATTGATTTTACCATGTGATTTTAAAGGTTTACTAAGACCCATCTTATTTGCTCTTAAAAACACATATTTGACTTGGAACTACAGTTCTGACCAAAATTATAAACCGTCAGTGTCCCAAGAAGTTGAATGTGTTAAACTTGAGACAGACCCACAGGGACTTAAAGGTGTGTGTAAGGTCCACCTCTGTGAGGACAGTTTCTGGAGTCTGCGATGTGTGTTAATGCAATGCACAGGAAGCTAAGAACCCAGGCAGCAGGTAAGGGGAAAGTGGGGAGGACAGAACCTTCTAGATGGATTTGCCAAAGGAAACTGAACAGAAGGAAGGTGAGTGGCCCGGTTGCACAGACAACCACGGTCACAGGAATATGAAAACATTCACCCGTGAACTGACCACGTGTAAAATTAGGCCCCATTCAAGCATGCCTGGCTGGGCAATATCAGCATTTTCCCGGTGAGTCCGGTTGCTTCATCACCCAGTAAACAAACACATGACCCCAAAGCACACTCATCCCACAGTGTGGAATCAAACGGTTACAGAACCAGAATTCCATGGGATGGACTCAAGTGGTTGGTAGTAGGGTGCCTCACTCTCAACTCCAAGTATTAAAAAGAACCCTGAGAGAAAAATGCAGAAAGCCTACCATACTTTTCCAGAAGTAATCGTGTTAGCTTTCTGTTACTAAAAAGAAATACCTGAAGCAATCAAGTTATAAAGTGAAAAGGTTTAAGATCTCACAGTTTTAGGGATTTATTCCGTGACTAGGGGGTCATGTTACAGCAGCCCAGCACAGCAGGAGATGAGAAGTGAAAGAAAAAGAGGAATGGCTTGGGATCCATCTGTTCCCCTCCGAGGACATGCCCCCAATGACCTGAAGACCTCCCACTGGGCTCCACCTCTCAAAGGTTCCTCCACCTCCCAACAGCACCATGGACTGAGAGCCAAGCCCTGAACACACTTGGGCCTTTGGACGCCATTGCAGGTCCAAGCTACGAAGTGATCTATGCTATGCTGTGAAAGTCCAAAGTGAAAGGAGGGTTTTGTAATTTGCAATGTGGTTTTGTCAGGAAAAGTATGTTTACAATGTTCATGTTGAAGCTGGGCACTGGTGCCTCAAACCTGTAATCCCAGTTACTTGGGAAGCTGAGATCAGGAGCATGGAGGTTCGAGGTCAGCCCAGGCAAACAGTTTATGAGCCCTCCATCTCCAAAATAACCAGAGCAAAATGGATTGGAGGTGTGGCTGAAGGGGTAGAGCGCCTGCTTTGCAGCACAAAGACCTGAGTTCAAACCCCAGTTCCACCCCCTCACCCAGAAAGTTCATACTGAGTCATTCTTTGTTCATTCGAACAATTAGCACGTTTCAAATACAACAGAAATTTTGTTTTTTTACTTGCAGTAAAGTTGAACTCAGGGCTCATACATGCAAAGCAGGCACTCTATGAATTGAGTCATGCCTCTAGTCCCTTACAACAGAAATTTTGACGATTACAAAACAAATTTAATTTTCCGATTTTCAGTTTTATTTAATAAACTTCAGACATGGACAATTTCTGATTATCTTAAAAGGTGCCCAAGCACCAATCCGGGGCCTCAGACTGAGAGGAGGGGGTAGGAGAGGAGGCAATGGGGTGTCTGGACTCTCCTGTCCCACGGTACTGAGCCATATCTGGAGCTCAGGTGCTCTCTGATTTCCATGGATGTCACATGGTGGCAGCTGTACCACAGGGGTCTCTAGATTTATAAGGGTTACAAATCTGAGGAAAGAAGGAAAAGGATCTGGAAAGCAGTTGGTGTGGAAACCCTTTTGTGCATTCTGAGTTAGTGATGGTACACAGTTCTCCAGGACTATCAAAGCAGGATTCTTTTGTCTGGGAACACAGGGTAGTGTAGAGTTACGACCTAAACACTACAGCCATGGACCTGCATTTTCTGAATTGTTTGTTCATTGGGTTTATATATTTATTTCTTTGGTGCCTATTACACAGGCGAGGCAAGCTACCACTGAGCTACACCACCAGCCCCCGAATTCAGATTTTTATTCATCAACATTTAAGAACTCTCACGATCTTTCAATTCTGTGTATGGACCCAAGCAATACAAACTCCTGTGTTCTTTTAAGTTTAAAATCAAACGCTAGTTTAATGTTATTTTTTAAATTGGTGAATGTACACGAGGAAGACATGCAGACTTTCCTTCTATGCCTCCCACTGCCCCCACCAAAACCACAACGCTGGTCAGGCTCTTCGTTACAAACAAGTCCACTCGGAGTCGTATTTAAAATCAGCAAGAGTTCCTGTTACCATTCAGAGTTAGACCACAGACTCAAGGTGCATTTCCCTGCAGTGCTGGCCAAACCCTTGCTTCCCAAGTGCCCAGTGAGAAACCCACCGCCACTCGTGCCTCCAAGACTGAGCACAAATGCTGCTGCAGTTGTCCCCACGCCACCACCTCAGGTCCATTTCCACTCTGGGAAGTCCCACCTTGCAACACTCCTGCCCCAAGGCCAGGCACCTCTGCTGCTGGCTACAAAATGATTGTGGCAGGACCCTTTGGTCATGTTGATTGCTTTTGATCAAAGTCTCATCCAGGTGTACAGGATTGGCACTGTCCATGCCACATGTCACATCACTGCCGTGTCCACAGCTCAGCAGCAAAGGAGTCTGGGAACTCAGCACTGTGGAGGTGGCGGGCCACATCGCTTAGAAACTTCTGCAAATATTAAAAGGCTACTCAAAAAGTAATGAGCAGGCACAAGTTCAAAGTTTAGTTAGCCTGATTCCTTGCACCTCTTCACCGAGAAAAAGCAGCCCCAGGGGGCTCTTTCCCTTTTTTTTGGGCGGGTGGGTACTAGAGTTTGAACACACTTGCTAGGCAGGCACTCTACCATTTGAGCCACACCCGGGGCCCTGTTGCTTTAGTTAATATTCAGATAGTGTCTCACACATTTTGTCTCCGGCCGAGCCTCCCCCCTATGCCTCCCAAATAGCTGGGATTACATGAATGCACCACCACTACTCAGCGTGTTTGTAGAGATGGGAGTCTTGCTAACTTTTGCCTGGGCTGGTCTCAAACCTCAATCCTTCCCATCTCTGCCTCCCGAGTAGTTGAGGTCACAGGCATGAGCCACCACATCTGGTCCTACAGGGGATGAAATTGTGTATGAAATTGCCCAGGTAATAAAGGTGCTGAATCAAAGCAGGTCTGTTCCCCTGTTCATGATGAGCCAGCATCATTTACTGAGCTGTGCAAAGAGCTGCACGATAATATTTCGTTTTTCCTCTCGACAACCCTGGAGGAAGGAATGCTCACCATGGTTTCACAGGTGAAGGCTCTGAGGTATGGGGAGGTCAGCCTTTGCCCTAAAGACCCAGGACCTGTATGAAAAGCTGGGCTTTGAACCCAGGATGCCTGGAAATTCAAGGTTTGATCACTACCCTCTGCCAACTCACTAGGGCCTCTCCTGGGACACGCAGATGCTCCAAGCGCATGGAGATGGTGGGTAGAGAGGGAAGCACGTGCTGTTTACCTGCCCAGTGCCCCTTCCTTGGGGAGCCTGTCCCTCCTATGCCCCAAGGTCCTGTGAACAGCGATTCCTCAAGTGCCCCCAGTGGTGAACGTGACCCAGG